ATGTATGTATGTATGTATGTATGTATGTATGTATGTATGTATGTATGTATGTATGTATGTATGTATGTATGTATGTATGTATGTACGGATGTGTATGTATGGATGTGTATGTATGTATGTAGCCTATATATGTATGTAAGTATGTATATATGTATGTGTGTGTGTGTGAGTGCGTGCGTGGGTGTGAGTGCGTGGGCATGCGTGCGTGCGTGCGTGCATGCAAGCGAGAGTGCATATGTGCACGTATGTATGCATATATACACACAAATACTTGTGGGGCAGACTTCTTTTTCCTTTATTTACATAGTCTAATTTAGACACCCACAAGGAGTTTTTAATCAAAATCTAAAAGAAAAAGTATCAAGCACAATCTAAATTTAAATAAGGGCAAAGATAACACAAACATGGAAAACTTGAAATCACGGAGAGCTCCTACAATTTGTCATTCCCAGACCGATATCTCCTTTTTTCCCCCCTTAATTTCTTTACTCGAACTATGGATGTGTCAAACTCAAACACATTTTGTCAATCCACGATCGACCTGTTCGATTTACCCATGCCCGAATGTATGTGTACAAAGGATGGGTATCGTTCGAAAAGGAAGTGCCACTTGAATGATTCCGAGGAAAACACAAAAAATCTGGGAGTCAACCCTATTTTAGAGCTTGAACCTGCGAGATTAAAAATAGCCCATTCTCTTTTTTTTTCCTCATGAGGTTCCCCTGCATTGCATACCCGTTGTACTAATTTATAGAAAACACAGGTGGATTCAGTGACACTATTATCGAAATATTCCTTCTTCTTAACCCTATCCGTATGTCGTGTTATGCCACCACTTTCCAAAGAGGAATTTTACTCATTAATCCAATCTGTACGCTTTGCATAGCAGTCTGTCAAAATGATTTTTTTTTAAAATACTGAAAGTTTTAAAGAGATCTTCTAACTAAAAGTATTCTAAAATGTGAAGAATACAACTCCGGGGGTACAAAATGACCCCAGGGCGTACGGATAGGGTTAATTGGCACTTTACCCTCCTTTTAGAACTAGCCCCTTCACAGGTGGGAAAGGAAAGAAACTCTTGTCTATGTACACAATCTTTGAAACAAATTTTACAATTATGTACATAATCAACCTCCGATTCCAATTCGCATGAATTGTCTTTACAGTATAATGTCAGCGAGCTGTTAAAATAAAATACACTAAACTTTGAATTTTTTTCTTCTATTACAACCAGTGTCTTAAAATGTGCTATCCGTTGCAGGAGCTCACGAAATGTTTTGCGGTAGTTCAAATTCTAAACGATGAAAAAAGGAAATTAATAAAGTGTGCATAGTTTGTGCCTGCATTATTAAACATTATTAAATTAATAATGCAAGCACAACTGCTAAAAGAAAGAAACAGCTTTTTTTACTGTCTCATGAAAAATTTTGTTTTCTCGGCTAAGGACATTTTATCAGCTTGCCGAAGATAAGTGACATACATATTATATAACATTGAGCCCGAAAGTAAAGAGAAAAAGTGTGGCAGAGTATAAATACAGTGACAACCAAAAGCAGGGCTGAGAATAGCATACCACAAAAAAGGATGAAAACTAGGGGGGGTCCAAGGGCATGCCCCCCTGAAAAATTTTGAAAAAATGAGGCATAAAGTAGCTAAATCTGGATATTTTGGAAGGGTTTGAGGCCTTATATAGTTACCCTAATTTTAGAGAAAAATAATAACTACCCAAATACTATCCAAAAAAACCCAACCCCATTACTACTAGATCTATACATTGTACACTGAGATGAAAAAAAAAAATATTCACAAAGTTCACATATCCATGAAAGTGAAAGGTCATTTTCAGTCTTTTAATGATTTTGTGGAGCAAAATTTTTATTTTCGTTGATTTAGTTGATTTAGTTATTTGAATTAGCATGTCATGTCAATATTTTCAAGAATACGTGAGCCCCAACGCAATAAATAGGCCTACATGAAAACATACCTTCTTTATTTAAAAAAATATAAACAACACATAAGTCCTAAAGACAAAGACTAACAGACGGAAGAAGGCGTCTTAATTCTCTTCTAACTAAATGTTTTTAGCCTGCTACCCGTCACGATGAAGAACAAGCAGACAAGACTGAAAAAAAAAGGCTACAGGGTTGTGATATGGGGCTTAAGTCCTCACAGTTCATGTAACTACCGGTACTCGATTGTCACAAGTGAATGCGATTCTACCAGTAAAGAAGAAGAATAAAAGTACATACAATGGTATCTCGGATTCGTCCAGCGAGCAGTTAAAAAACTTCTTATTATCGTCTTTTGTCTTTTATAATAATAATAATAAATAATAAATTGCATTTATATAGCGCATTTCCACAAAGAAGTGCTCAATGCGCTGTACAATAATACAAAGAACATATGAAGCGCACAGATCCTATAGTAATCCTCTCTCTCTCTCTCTCTCTCTCCCTCTCCCTCTCTCCAGTACATCCTTGAGTAAAGAGAATCCCACAAAGTTTACCCAGACACATTCGCACACATTGACGAATTCACACAGTCATAAATTCTTACAGAACAGAACAGCATGAATAAACGATACTGAGACAGCATAATAGATACTAAGAGAATATAATAATATTTGTATTGGGAATGTCGGAAATTACAGATTGAAGCTGGACTGAAACAAATGCGTTTTAAGTGCTGATTAAAATTTTGATATAGTGGTGGACTTCCGTAGATGAGCTGGTAAAGCGTTCCACAAGGAGGGGGCGTGGTGTGAAAAAGCTCTCCCTACGAGTCTCTGACTTTTACTTTGGATAGGTCTTAAAAATCTTTTTTTTTTAAATTCTTACTACAATATTATAATGATAAGAAACTCGGGAAAAAAGGCGGAAGAGGTGTTCGGAAGAGCGGGCGGCAGGGTTGCAATGTGCAGAATTCCGCATATATTGAGGAGCATCAGTACTGATAGAATGGACATACATAACAAATCCAATGAATGGAGAATCTCGTTTTGAAATAACAATATTCTATTCTGATATTTTGTCATGACAGTTTCAAATGAAACGGAAAACAAAGCAATCACAAATACCATGCAAAACTTGGACTTAACTAAAAATGCTCACTGTCATTTTGCTTATAAATGAGCCATTAGATTTTTGCAGACATGAACCTTTTGGGCATTGACTCTGTTAAATTTTGGAGACAATTATCCGTCATTTCATCCCAAATGTCACAGTGAGTTGCAAACAAAGGTTCTGAACTGGGAGCAAAGCAGCTTTTCTTCAGCTGCTGTTTCATGGTATTTCACTCTTCACATAGGCCTACCTGTAGAGTTAATATCATGGCTATTTGCTGGTGACCATTCCAACGTTGATATGATTTGGTTTTCAAAGAATTGTCTAGTGGCACTGTCCTGTAAGAAAGTTCTTTGCTATGAATGGAGATGTTTACTTGAATGAAACCATGACGAAAATAATGGGAAGACATGACGTTCCAGCACCTTTGCATTGTAGTCCACTGAACCAAGCCATCCAGTGATTCTCATGACGGCGATTTTTAAAATTCCACCCCAGACCACCCAAAACCATGGCAGTTTCGTGGCCTCTGGTCCTCACTGACATATAATTGTGTCCAAAATCTAACTAACATAGTCCATGTGCAAAACTGGAAAATGAGGACTGAGTCTTAATCTAAGACTCCATAAAAGATTATGGGAATAACAAAAAAAAGAAAAGTATTTATTCATTCCATAATAGAGAAAAATCTAACAGCAGTATTGCTATAACAATTCTGTTCAGGTTCTTTTACTTTTACAAAGCATAAGTACATTATTTTCCCCCCTTTAACTATCTATTCTATATTCTACATTTGTCCATATTTCGCTGTCTATCAAGGACTATACAATGCACATAAAATGTATTATGGGACAGCCTTTAAAAAATATGAAACATATTACAATTTTGATTTAAAAGACATGACTAGTTGTTTCGTTTTTTAAACAGGCAAGATAAAAATAATAACATATGAGGGAATCAAAATCATACCATCAGCATAAAATGGCAAAGATCCACACCAATAAATGGCAAAGATCCAAACCAATACACCCAAGAGACGTCGGGTTGTTTGTACAGATTACAGATGTGTTTTACAGAATACAAAGTAACTGGCATACAGTACATAGTGTGAACTGTTCATTAATTTCATGAAAGCAATCAGTACCAGTGAGCAATGATATTGTACACCCATACTCAATCTGAACTGAGGCGAAAAAATCAGTACAGACATTCAAATATAAAT